GCCAACACGCAGTGTGCAGACATGCTGTCCAAGTCGATTGCCGAAATAGAAGTAAGCGCAATGTATGAATCGTCCAATACACGACAAACAAAGTTAATTTGATTGTGTTGTAATAGGTTCGACTGCAAAAAATCGTCTTGGATTATCAACATCAATTACCTGAACGCGTTTTTAAATCTGCCACCTTCACTGTGGAGTCGCTGGACAGTCTCGAAATCCAGCTGGGTCATATCGCACTGCGAGCCAGTTATGCTACATTGGCTACAGGTGATTGAAGACGAGTCAATTATTTTTCTATGTATAATAATCAGAACTGAAAACGACATTGAGTACCACCGTGTGCCCGGTGGATGCCCCGCGTTGTCTTGTCATATTTAAATAGTTATAAAATACACGAGGAATTGTCAAGAATTCAACGTGTCACACTCGCTGTGTTTATCAGCCATGCATAATAATATTATAAAATGACATAACGCTGTGGTAGTGCTTTTGCTTACTATAATGTTTTCTGTGCGTCATGTTTACAGGCAGCAATAATGACTTTGAATTAACATTCACTAGAGATATCCAGACTGCAAAACAAAAGCTGGCGACAACGGTAGTCGGTATGAAACAAGCCTTGGCAACTGGAATTGTTCTCAGACCGGATAACAGGAAGCATTGGAACAACAATATACAAGTAAGCGAGCAAGTCGCCGTACATGCAACGTCGCTAGTGTTAGTAATTTAATGCAGTACCCGGAAACGGGTTGGATTCACAGTAATTTTCTAGTAAACAAAGGTTTGAATTAAATCGACTTGTATCGAATAAAGCACAACCAATTATTATCCGAATAATGATTATACTGTAAAATAATATACTCAAATTAGTTAATAAAAAAAATTATAGCTGTTTCAGAATCACATACACATATAAATTAATATTACACTGATAAAGAATAACTATGGATTTATTAACATTTTTTTGCATTTAACCAACCGATTTGACAAAGTTAATCAAATTTAAAATAGTTTTTAATTCCGCTGTAATCCTCTTCAGAAATATTTTGTATAACTTAAATTGACCCACAATTGCTTTTATACATCACCTTGTTATTATGTAACTATTCTTATTATGTTTGAGGCGCTTACACATTTCATTTGAGTAGTGTGAACGTCCGTTCTCAGCTATTGTAATATTGGTCTAATTAGTTAACATTTTTCCAGAAATTATCCGAGTTATGCAAAAAACGATTCGAGACCATTAAAACCTTTTACGCGGTCGAAAAATCTAAGCTAATAGACTGGGCGATTTGTTTCGTACAAAACGTGGAACAAGTGAAGGATCTATTTTAGATAGTAATTAGTTCAGTGTTGTATGATTGTTGAGTTATCATTCAAAATAAATATATTAATATTGGTTAAAATGAAAAATTATTCTTAAATGAATCGGATGCCGGCATGATCTTACCTATAGCCTATTATGGTACTTTGTACGGTAACAGGTTTATTTCAATTGTACATCCATCATTTAACACTACTCCATAGACGATGCGCGTAAACAAAGCGCGTCAAGGGCACATCCTTTTCGAGGCTTTCGAGGGATTAAGTCCGGGAAGAAGCGGGGTTCAGTTTATTGACGACTAGTACGCCGAACACGTCAGTCGGATGCTTACCCTCGTTTCTTGACAGTTCAGAAATGAGCATTGTCCTGGGGGAAGGCCGCTTGTCACCACGACAAGCACGCGGAGGCTACACGCCTTTAAGAGGGATGACCCTATACCCAGATGAAAGCACCACCAGCTAGGGTTAGCCAACTGCAGGGCAAAGGGTCAAAATCCTGACGCCCAATATCTCCACAGCGGCGAAGGCTACGGCCCCTGTCCCACTCGTGGGCGACAAGGCGGCAGCCAAAGCGCTACGCGAGAATGGCGACAGGACTGGGGAAATCTCCCAACCTGGAATGCACCCGAACTACACAGTCTAAATAGTACAATCACAAACGCGGATATCGATAGGCGTGGGACTAAGTCTGAAACATGAACTAGGCATAACATTCCTGTCAACTAAAGGATTCGTCTCCTTTATATATATGCTGTCAACAGCAACGGCTACCCAAGCGTCACTCATCTTTTCTCAGACCAACATTAATCTATCCATGTGGTCCGGGTACAACATAACACGTGATCACGTCTCATCCATGTTGGCCATGAGGCAAGTAATAAACCTCAATACCTGACACGAGAAGCCAATGGCAACAATGGGATGAAGATTTAATCCTGGAGTACTTTGGGAAGGATCCATTCACGGACATAAACTGGCTCTCTTATTCACCCCTCCCACACCACCTTGGACAGCAATGGTCAGCCAAGATAGAATACAAGACAAGCGTAGACACACAACGGCTGACATACATCAGACATCGCGGCGCCAACCGTCCCTGCCTAATGTTATCAAAGGACACATTACAGTATATAGGTCGTTTATGACCTCCACGATAGACGCAGATAGATATTTTCCAATGGTGGTAGTCAGGGAACCAGACGCTGCTCACAACACCTTAGTGCCTGGGTAGACCAGTGGAATTATCTTTCATATATATATCAGCCGGTTGCACAGTCATGGTCGATGAATCATACCTAGAGTCGAATGAATTGGTGATATATCTGATTGATACAAAGAACAAAAAACGACGGAGGCGGAGAAAATCCCTCCAACAGCCGATCAACAAGCACAGATAGCCGCCGCTACGAAGAAGGAACTGGCGGGTTCAACTCGGTAAATACGTAAACTACGGTACATACTACTGGCCAGGTCAAAATAACAATAGCTCACTAAAATGTTCAACTTAAGTAGGAACACTCCGCCTTCCGGAAGTGAATCAGACTATCTACTCAGGGGTGGTGACTAATGATTTATTAAGGGCCTTGAAAGCTCCGAGCAATCTCAGAAAACGACCCCCGTACTAGAAAAGCTGCTACGTTTCTTTGGCGAAGTCTCATCCGACTGGCCAGTCAACAATAAGTGTCTCATTTCCATTATTTTTATATCATAAATATCTAAAAACAATAGGCCAAGAAATTTTAGCTTCAGAACTAAAATATTTATTACAATACATTAATAAGAAAGCAGAAGGGTACTTTAAGATCAGCAACAGCAGAACCCCTGCAGCGTACCGAGTTGAACGATTAGAATATGAAGACGATTTTTGGCGCTTGAACCTCAAAGAAGTCAGCGGATACTGTTTCCCGAGGGTCTTCTTCCATGGACCCGTCTACATGTATAAATAAAAAACTGTTTTTGTATGTAATTGTACCGTTGGATATACATTTACTATAGTCGTATCACTCATGATACTTTGGTAAATTTAAAACACGGGTTTTTTTGAAAATGATTTCAACTTTTTAGAGAAATAATTGCATATGACGTTATTTCACAATATTCAAGTTTTTATTATTATTTTTGATAAATTCCAGATCTCTATCAACTTTTGATGCTTAATCATTTTAAACTAAGATTAATTTACTATCAATTTTAATCGGCCGATACACATGTTTCTGTAGTTATTTTTAAAATATATGATATAATGAATGGTAGAGTGAAGTAGTATTTTTTATCTGCACGCATTACTCAACCGTATTCCAGATCCTTTAAGCATGTTCAGTTCTACTGATTACATACATTTTACTATGATTATTCTCTATTAATCTGGTTTTCCATGTATAGAAAAAAAAATGTAACGTACTTGTTGTAATTTTGAATTATTTATAGTTATATTAAGGGGAACGGAAAGCTTTATTTATTAAGGTGCAAAGGATATGTGAAGCTTACTATTTTTTCTATGGGGTTAAAATGTCGATTTTTGATTTAGCGATTAAATAAATACATTAGTCTAATGTATTAGAAAAAAACTATAAAAAGTAAAAATAAAAATGCATACAACAATTGTTTGAAAAATAAATCATCCTTTCAGCTCCCATCGAGAAGATGTTAAACTATAAAACAAATAAAAACATTGAAATCGGTTGTGTAGATACTTCGGAAGTGACTCTGCGTTTTAGTCTTTATTTGTGAAAAAAAAAATTGATGCTTTCCTTTCCCCTTAAGATGAATACCGTTTTACTACTCATGTCATATTTTGTATTTCAATGTATTAAACATTTTATTTGAAATATTAGGGATGATACATTTATGATATTTATAGTTGTACTAATATCTTTTATTAGGTACACAATCGTGTATTTTATGATCTAGATATTATTCATTCTTGTTTCAATATTTTAAGTCATTTATCGTAATCTATTCATCTTGTTTCAGTAATTAATTTTCATCCATTATTCCAACATTGTAAATGTTTAAACCTGCAGGTTCAAGCCTGCAGGTCGCACAGTCGAACAGGGCTCACTGCTGAAGAACTGAGCAAAAAGGTGCTGAGGACCGTTGCCAGATGTCACCAGCTATAGCACGGTCAGGAAGACGGCGATGAAGAAGGTGAACCTCCAAACGATCGGAGTCACTCTGAAGGGAACGCACTCGCACGAAGAATGGCTCGGCGTTACTGCAGCTTAGGGGTACCCCTGCGCAAGCGGATGAGGTGGCTGCTAAGCTTAGCACGGAAGTAGAACCGGAGGTCAAGATTAATAGGCCTAATAGAAAGGCGACGGTCTTGATCTTGGATATCCAAGAGTGGGTGGAAGCCGTGGACCTCCAAACAGCCATTAAAAAGGTAGTAAGCGAGGGACCGGCGGCACCACTCCAAGAAGGGGTACTACTACTTGTCATCACGAAGGGCAAAGCGGGCACCGCGGGGTTAGCTTATGTAATAGTTCCGACTAAGGTAGCGGCACAGCTAGCTCGGACCTTAGAAGAGGGTCTACCTAAGAGGGTCTGGACCAACTGGAACAACTGCCGCGTCAGGGTCCTTGAAGACAAAGGCCCGCGCTGCTACAAGTACTTGAAGCGGCGGCATGTGGCCGTCAACTACAATGGCCCTGATCTAGGTGGGCGATTCTTCCGGTGCCATGGAGAAGGCCACCAGCCAACCTTCCCGCCCAGTCGGAAAACAAGGTCGGAGGAAAAAGAAAAAGGAAGAAGCGGCCCAGGTAGGTCAACAACGACAATCCAACGAGAGCCGAAGTGACAAGCCAAACGACACGAGAGGGCAAGTTAAGTGCCACAAGTGTCTGGTTAATGGCCATGTCATCAAAGACTGCCCGAGCCCCACTGGCTTTGCCGGAAGTGTGGTAGCAAAGAGCACAAAACAAGCGAGTGTAATGCTGCAGTGGAAGACGACCGAAAGGCCTTCCGACAAAATGTACATATAGAAAATTTTGATTCACACTATAGATTCGGCGATGTCAAACGAATTACAAAAAGTATTGTTTAAGCAAAACTTGTTATGATTGTTCCTAACTTCAAATTATTTAAATTTGATGATATTTACAAAAAATATTAAATAAACACAAGTAGAAATTAGCTTTTTGGTTATTCGTTCGCCGAATTTTCAGTCCTCTAAGACATAACCTGAAGAGTGCTCTGCAGATTACATCCACAAATGTACTACTCACCGTGCAAAACATAAAAACGTATGTAAACAATTGTATTATTACTCATTTTTTAATATTTAAATTTTAAAATAAATTAATTATACGTTGGCTTACGTATATATATATAAATATATATGATTTTTGCTTCCAAGACAAAAAACTAAAAATGAAATATTTTTAAAAATATATTTTAATTTTTCCAATTTTTTATGTTCATGATAAAGCTTTTTTAAATCAAAAACTATTGATATTTTTTAATATTTAAATTTAAATATTAAACTAATTATGCAACAAGATATAAAAATAAAACATTTAATTTTTTTAAAGGCCGTTTCCATGAAAAACTAAAAAAGTAATACTTTTATAATTATATTTAATTTTTAAAAATTGTTTATATTACAGGAAAAAAAAAACTTTGTCAAATCAAATACAACAGCCCTCTACGTGTCAAAAAAAACGTATGTATTCAATTATATTACACTTTATTAGTACAATTGATCGCAAAATTATTTTATATTATAAATTAATTATATATTGACATATTCATGTTTTATTTTTTTTGTCATATGAAAATTATATGTAATTTTTATTATACAAGTTTGAACTAATATAGTTGTTTTTTTTTTATGCTTCAGTACAAAAAAATCACCGTGATCTCTTCCATCCACAAACCAGTAAAATCCATTGCACAGCAACACTCTACAACCAGAAAAAAAACAAACGTATGGAATTGTTTAGTAATCAAATATGTGTATTCCAGTAATAAACCCTATCCAATCAACTATCAAATATTTATCTTCGATTAATGTCACAGTATTTAACCAAATAGTTCATATTATCAGTTCTATACCAAACGACAATATATTTGATATATGTATCAACAAATATTTGAACATTTAATTTTATCTATACTGAATTTGATAATGATATTGACGGATGCACAATTTGTAGTGATTCCTGCAATGATGTGGCAAAATATCATAACAGATTACCTCAGACGAATTGTAAGGTAGTTCACCAGTGTAGGATTTCGGTTGATAAAATCTCAATGTATTATATAATACACATTAATCCGGCACACTTACATTGCGCCGTTTGCTGTAAGCAAATATTTACGTGGGAATCGGATTAGTGTGTATTATATAGTATATTATAATATATTTTCTGTAATGTTGCAATGTTGAACTATTTATATGTATATAAATTGTATATATATTGTATTGTATATATTGAAAAAAAAACACACTGAGCTTTAGATCGACAATTTCTTCCACAAATTTTCAGTTATTACTAATTATTAATTTCTTTTTTAGTATTTTATGATCTTGAATTTGGCGAAGTTAGATATGTGGTTGTCTACCCTTCGCTGAATAAGTATGAAGTTATTGGGACTGGAGACGAACCTACTGTAATTTTATTATTCTGGTACAAAATTGATTTATTTCATATATCTACAATTATTATTATAACTGACATTTAACTTAAAAAATTCGTTTATTTTGGTTTTGTTTGTATAAACAAATATTTGATGTAAAAATAATATTGCATAATTATTTCATAGTTAGGGGCGGCAAAATTTAAGTTTGCCTAGGTGTGTTGAAACGCTTGAGCCGGGCTTGTACGGATGCATGTGGGGAAAAAAAGGTTGGATTAGGTTAGAAGGAAGGGGAAAGGGTGGCCTTATAAAATTTAAAAAGGATCCCTTCTCTGGGCCCGTATCGAAGCTAAACATTATTGGAATACAATTTTGCACTACTCTGTTGGTATACTTGGGTACGTTGTTTTGGGAATTCGATAACAATAAAGGTCCTTTTTATTATTTTCATTTTTAGGTATTTTACAAGACTTTCCCTGGCCGGAATTCTTTGAAGGATCGGTCGTCAACAACTGAAAAGTACTGGCAAAATATTGACAAAGTAACGGAGTACTTTGACCTTCTGGCACAAACGAGGACGGTGGCCGAAGTCTTCAGTATGTAGCGGGCTTAAAAGTAAATGAAAGCAAAAATATATTTTACTAACTAAATATTAAACGGATAGATAGCGCTAGAACTGGATTAGACTAATTTCAAAATTGGTGGGAGAGAATTTTTCTCTGAAATCATCGGGGGCCCGATTCAGAGATCGGTTTTTAGTTTCAGTTCAATGTCCACAATCATGAACGACACCCAGAAGCAGCGTGCGGTGCAATACCTCGCCGACAGTAAGTTGCAATTTTTTTTTTTATGTTTTCAATTTTAATTTCGATTAAAATTTTTTTCAATTTTTTTTTTCCTGTAGGATACAAAGGTCTTGGAATTGGCATTACCATCGAAATGGAGATGCTAGGGACGGGTTTTCTCGTCGTCGGCCAGTCGTCGCCGGGGGGTAAGTCAATTTTTTTTTTATCTATTTTCTTATAATTAATATTTTTCTTCTACGCTATACAGAGGAGCTACCGGCGTTGGTTACTGTGGACTGGGAGGTCCACTCAACCCAAGCTACCCAAGACGGCCCTAGTGTACAGCCGCCGTCGTCACCATCGGCTTAACGTCCTCCCAACCGATGTCCATAGCCATTTTTTTTTTTTTGAAATATTAGGAATGATACATTTATGATATTTATAGTTGTACTAATATCTTTTATTAGGTACACAATCTGTATTTTATGATCTAGATATTGTTCATTCTTGTTTCAATATGTTAAGTCATTTATCGTGATCTATTCATCTTGTTTCAGTAATTAATTTTCATCCATTATTCCAACATTGTAAATGTTTAAGCCATTACAATATGTTCTCTTTTTCATTATTTTTTTTGTTATTGTTACGGTTTCTGTATTTTTATGTGTGACCCATAGGTCTTTCATAGGTTTCTTTCGAGGAACCCAATCATATATGTGCCAACTAATATCACTTGAAATAAGTGCAGCTATTTAGGCGCCTATTAAGAATATTTATTTTACTCGATAGTTATGCAGTGTTATTTTTTTTTTTACTTCTAATCGATTTGTTATCATTTCAATGAATTATCAAAAGAAGATATAATATTTTTGTTTCCAAAGCAACAATGCAAACGTATAATACATTTTTTTTTTTGATAATACAAAAATGACGCGACTTTTTCGCAGATTGTTTTTCATGCCAAAAGAATTAATAATATGAAATTTAGTTTTTTTATACTTTTAATTTACTACACCAATTCACTTGGTACCGCCCAACACGTCGAATGCCGCAAAGCCAAAAAGCAGTGTAAACCTCACATGCTAAATGGGCATTACATCCAATGGCCGAACCAAAAAATGGAAGAATACTATTTACAGAATAAAAAATTTATACCGAAAAACATAATTTTTACCAGGTTTCAAATTTGCGGCAATCACGTATTTTTGGTTTCACCGCGCTTCAAGTAAGAATACAGTATCTGTGGTTAATTTCGATACACATTACCACACATCATTCTAATTGTTGTTTCAGAGAAGGAGTGCCTTTTACATTAAGTAGCGTCACGCTTAATGGCAACGATCAATGTTACAACTATGTCCGGCCTTTCCCGTCTTTGGTGATGAGCGATGTAGGCGGCCAAGAAGCCATAGTAAACGCAGTCGATATATACATGGGCCAGGACGGTATTCTGTGGGTGTTGGATATTGGAATTGTCAACACTATCGAAGACAGACCTATTAAAGAAAATGATCCCAAAGTGTTAGGGATCAACTTCGGGAACGGCCGAGTAGGTTACAAAATAAAACATCCCAAATACATTTAAAATCATATATTTAAAACTTGTGACAAAAACAAATGTCCACATAGTAAGTTTTGGAACAAGAACTAAAAAACCGTTGGCCCTTAGCCCAAACCTAACAAGTGAATCCCCCTTCATATGAATCGGCCGTCAGATTTTCTGCAACATGTCTAGTTGCTTCTTAAATCACCTCAGAGTAATTACAAATTACCGTTTTCAGTGTGTTCTCTACGTAAGAGTATTATTTAACATATTTAGGAAAATAAATCACCTGTTGCTAAACATGCAGTATTTAGTCTTAACATAAACTCTGTCAAACTATTGAAAACTGTAAAAAATGTTATCTATAAATGTCAAAAAATAAAGAAAATTGCTCAATTGGAATTTAAGTCCGTTACTAAATTACTTATAAAATTTATAAAAACACGTGTTAGCGATGAGTCATATCGTCAGCTATGACGCCACCCCTTATGATACCTCCTACCGATATGCCGCTATGTCATATCAGTAAGATTTATTGCGGGAGTGTCTTCAGTCAGCTAATAGCGTTCATCCGTGTAAAAATCCGTGTTATTGTTTCTAATAGGGTTTTTTTTATTAATTAAATATTAATCCACGAGAGACACAAGCAACTTAAACAGACTAAGTACATACTACTTATCTTTATAATAATAATTGGGTACGTTAAAAAAATGAATTGTGTTATTTTTTTCTAGATAATCCATACGATACCGTTGAGGCCCCTAATATGCCGAGTGCGAAGTCGACTACAATATATTGTGGTCGAATACATTGGCGACAACAGCCCTATTATTTATGTTGGAGACGGCGGAACTCGTTCAATTATAGTTTGGAACGTCGATGGTAAAGAAGGATACAAAGTGAAACTTCCGCGCACCGCCACCATCTCTTGTACAGAAACCGGAGCTGAAGACATGTTCTATTTGGTCCTCATCGAAACGCCCAGTTGCAATTACTTGTACTTCACGTATTTGTCCAGTGTGGACATGTTTAAGGTACGGACAAAAGACCTGCGTAAGCGCATCCATCCTAAGTGCATAGTAAACGTTGGTCGGAAGCCGTGCAAAATGGTCATTGTTGGGTCAGCTTACGGATCGGTGATATACTTCCGCATCAAAGGAATGCAGAATCTGTACAGCTGGGACACTAAAGAAAGTTTTTTAGAAGAAAACATGATGGTGGTTGGTAAACACGATCGAATCTAACAATTACTAAAACTATCTTTATTAACTCACATCGCGAATTAAATTGTTTTTTTCATCATTCAAGTCGATCCACTTAACACTCCTGCCGCAAAATCCATCTACTTTTCACTATTTACACTTTATTACTTTTCTCATAACCATTTGTCTTACTTTTGGCACTTTTTTTTGTGTTTTTCGCCAAAATGATTCAGACCCCGTCATCACCATTTCTCGATATCTGTCAAAATGAATTAAAATTTGGCGCACTTGTTCTACACGGGATTTTGTTCCGCTGGCTTAGCGATTTATAATTGATTTCGTCATGATTTTATCGTTTGTTCCAAGTCAGCAAAACAAAATCCCGCATAGAACAAGTTTGCTGGCATGCCATTCCATTTAAAATCAAATATTTTTAATTCAAGTCAAAGAGAAACGCTAGCTAACTAAATTATGACTATTTTAGTAATTATCGCTAATCGTAGTGACGATTTCATTGTAGTTTTTTTCCCAACTCTACTAATTATTTTTTTTATTATTAAATGAGGTTCCATTTGTTAAGCTGGTACTATACTTTTATTTAAGTGTTTTAACAGAAAACATAAACGACCTTGCTTTCTTTTAACATGATGAAACCTCAATTTTTAGCGTCTTTACTTTATACATGGTATTGCTTAACATTACTTTCGGAATCTGTTTAAACCATACACATCCATTTCAGTGTTCTATTTTCGGAAATCGTGTTCGATTCCCAACGCTTGAACGCACTTCCTGTTATTTCTTATCATCTCGTCCGGCCACACTTTATTCTTTTCGTTGCGTCAAACACTTTAACTCCTCTATTCTCTTGCATAGTTGATCCCAATTATTAAAAATGATCAACTCCACATGTTTTCCAAGGTCCTCAGATTACTTCTAAAATCTGTTTATTACCAATCCTTATGACCGGTACGAATGTTTTTTTATAGATTTTCTTATGATGGGATAATTTATAAAATTCCTATTTAGGTTAAGAAAAGCGTGGATTGTAGAACGATCACACACATAGATGTCGACAACGACGGTGTGCTGTGGGAACTAGAGAGTAATATCGATGATTACATGAGGAACACTGTCGGATGTTACGGAGCTAGCATAGTGCTCAAGCCCATATTTGGAAAATCAGAACCTCTACAACCGTGTTTAACAGAGTAGTTGGAGACGCGCGATCTAGAATGGCCGTACCATCGTTGATCCAATCGGAAATAACGTATCCAATATTGATCTAGTCCAGCAGTGGTCTTATGTAAGTTGGATAACGTAATAGAACAAAATAGTCTTGTTGCAACATTGCTTCAATATTTCTGTAAGAAGTTTATTTTGCTTTTTGGCTGTTATTTAATAGATATAAATAAGTTAATGTGTATGGTTAAATTAATATAAAAATGTAAATATTGGAAATTCTGTTCATAGCTAGTCGTGATCAAGATGAATTTGTTTTGTTTTATCATTCATGTAATTTTTTTCATTCAAATACAGATCTTCTTTATTTTAGCCTTATCATTTATAAATGGGAAAGTTTAAATAAAATAAAAATACAATTGAAATACAAAACAACTGCTTCTATAATTCAACCAAGTAACGACTACAGTAAGATTATTTTGATCCAAATATATTATTCGCTAAAAACAATACTATTCTAAGTTTTAATACAATCGACTAGTAACAAATACAGGGCGATTCATGTGATGCTAGAGAGTCATTTTCTGGGAAAATATGACTATTTAGATAACTTAGTACAGTTGGAAACGAAGGTTGGCGTTCTGCGTCCTAAATATGAGCTTACCAGACAGTAAATGGACGTACGGGCGGATTGCGGGAAGTCATACTCGATTATAATGGGGAGAAAATTCGCGGTGTGGATTAAAACCTTCAAAACGTCATCTCGTATCACCACCCTGGAAAACCGGGCTGTGCACGAGGGTTTGACAGCTCTCTTTGTACTAACTTAAATATTACATTTATTTGCTTGTTCATCAATACACTCGGCAGTAATCCTTGATGTAGGAGTCAATCATTTTGGGTGGACCAAGCAAAACAGCTGACGACGTATTTAGCAGACAGCCTAATCAAGTGCAACTTGTTAGGTTCGTAGACATCAATGACTAACAAAAAATTTAGGATAGAGCAGGGGAGAGACGGGCTTAGAGGGTTGCTAATGCAAACAATATCAAGTATTTGTGCCACAGGATGGAGAAAAATAGTAATAGAAAACTCATGGGCGACACCTGATGAGGGGGAGGCATTGCATATACATTAAACAGGTATCCAAGGGGAGCGACGGGTGCTGTGCCACTGGCTCTTAAAGACTAGGTGAGGCCCACCGAAACGGAGGATTTAAAAATTATGTTTATGTGTTAAGGACCCACCCTCATCAGGGCTAATAGATACATATATATTTATATATATATATTACATTGTACAACTTATTAGGACTAACATATACTACATATATCTATATATTGTATTATATAACTTCTCATTGTTAAATATTGCTAAATATGAATGTACCACACGTGCCGATTTCACATCAGACCCAACAGGTCATTACAGCATCTTGCGAAAGCAGACAACTTGTAATTCTGTTCACAGTTGACCTCAACAACGAGGCCAACCACTAAAAGGAACTTAACGTTTTTGGCAACTACCGTGCGAATCTCACATCGAAGCTAGCCAATTTCGACCATGCGAAGGCTGCACTCTCATGCCTCTACCCTTCCTCCACCGTTGACATAAGCGGATGTCATGGACGAGCGAGGTCATCCACGCGCGGACTTTCGATAATTGCGAGGATTCCCACGGCCATTCAACGAGCGGACCAGCATATAAGGGAGAACTTCAGTCATAGCAGGCAGATGTGCTGGGACCACGACACACTACACTTGAAGTTTCTACCTATCATCTTCTTTTGAAGTCTTAAGTGGCTTATAATTGTCTTAATCATCATATTTTTGAAGCATACTGAACTTATGCTATTAACTGTTTGTCGTTGTACATGTTTTATAAGTATATTAAACTAAATGTTTGTGATTGACTCTGAAGTTATTCTATTAAATATCTAAAAACCTATCACCACGATTGTGACAAGACTCAAACAGCCTGCAATGCATACGTACAGGGCTACAGGGTTGTTACATATGTATGTTTGAGTAAATGTTCAAGAAGATGTACACTAGTAGTAAGTTAAAATTGTGAGTCCGCCTCGCGAAGAGAAAAACGGAATTTTGTAATTACAATTTTCATTGTAGTGAATGCTAATAAATGATGCTGCCTGGGAGGAAGTAGCGTGCAAACAGTTCCCTCCTAGGTTAGCGATTATTTGGGGGGGAAAAAAAGACTGTAGTATTCAACAAATGTATTGGCAAAAGAAATCGAATCTGGTTTTATATATTAAAATTTCATTTATCGATATATTCCAAACGATAAAAAAAACAGATAACGGAAAACGACTGTTACGCTTATCTGTATAAATAATTGTTTACATGATGGAAGATGGTAATTTCGAGACTTAAGAAATAATACCGTACTTAACGCCACCTGAGTTGCCTATTTTTATGAAAGTCTTCCTGCAGAAGCCAAACTGAACATTACAGAATATATTTTTTGTTGGTCGAACTTTTTTTGTGTGTAATGATTTGTAAGCAATATCTCATTTTAAAAACCATGTTAACTTTTCGCCAATCGATTATTACGAACCTACATTTTAATATTTTAACTTTCCCACTTTAACCTTTTAATAAGTTGTTACCGCGTTATACTTTATTGACAATTTGTTTAACATATTATAATTTTTCTTTTATTTAAAACATTACACCGTGTTAGTTTCGCGTGACGGCAATTAACTCGATAGTTACATAAACGGATTACTTGAAAAATCTAAGGTACGGATTATTGAGCAAGTCAGAATTTTAATATCAACTTTGATGTTGAAGCCAAAAGGGCCAAAAGCCAAAAGGGCCACCAAAGGTCACATTGATACATCTGAAGACGATTTACCTCTAATTGTTTATGGGCAATTTTTTATGTGAAATATGGCACTCAGTGGAACCGTAGACCATCTAATCAGAGGGTTAGATCTATATCAAAATGTTTTTGCATTAAATAAATGTCTAATAACAATTATTTATTAGTAATAATGATAAATTTAATAATCTCAATTAAATAACAATTATATTTTGTAATAGCGCTATTTAAACATGTATTTTAACATATTTATTATAATGGGGTACATTTTTATCCCGCGGTATCGGAAACCTTGCGAGTGGTGACGGGTTAAATAAACACTTCGATGCGAATTTATGGATAGTATGTATAAACCACACATAGTAACCTACTCAAATACACTCTAATGTAACTCATCGCTCCAGTTCAAACTAATTCTATGTAAGTGATAATTCAATATAGTATAATTTTTCAAAAATTTAATTGAACTTTTTCAATTATACTACGATATGACGGCACAACGGCCTGCCTTTGGCCTCGCGGTACGAGTGGGAGCGAACAACTCGGTCAGGTGCTCCACTCACCTTACTGCCCGCTGGAAACCTGGACCATCCTGCCACCACGGTTACCATCCATCGTCAGGACCCGCCAGAGAGTCAGTCAGGGCTGCGGAAAACGGACGCTGCTCCAACGCGCCCCCAACACCCAGCTCCAGTTTTGGGACGCCACCGGGGGGAGACTCGAAGACCCGGAGTATCTGGGCGAGGACGGGACGGCCGATGGACAGCGGTAACTCCATCCAACGTCAGCCGCCAGACTCGGCGCGGCGCCCATAATGTGAGGGACTCGCAAGGGCGATTCACACCAAGGAAAACGTGGGCCCCCCTCACCGATGCCCTCAATCAAGGAAGGACGGAGCCCAGGCAGCTGGAAAAAAGCGACCACCAACCCGGAACTTCACAGGCCAGCACCTCGACCACGACAGTGGAAGCACCGGAGGAACCGGAAGTTTTCCACTGGGACGCCCTAGAGTAAAATGGGAAGAAAGGGTAAAAGAAGACGTGGAAAAAGTAAAGCCAGGAGAGGTTTGGAAGAAATTATCGTTAGAAACAGAAAGCTGGAGGCAAATATGCTGGACGGTATGGTCTTGAAGGCCGAAAACCACGAAGAAGATTTTTTTTTTAATTGAACTTTTTCTATTATACTAGGATATGCTAACTTTCTTATTAAAATCGTTTAATGTCTATTTTATCATATCGCTGATATACTAGAAGCTTATAAAGATGAATCAAACTTTGATCATGGAATAGATAGAAATAAATTACACACAGAAGATGAAGTCGTCTTAAATATAATCAGACAAAATTATTCCAATTATAATATAGATCTGGAATCGGGAAATATGCTTAACTTATTTGGACTCAGTAATAGATTAATATTTTCATTCATTGGTATAAGTTTTCCTAATCATTTTGACATAACAGTATGCTTAAATCGTAAACCGTGTGAGACAACATTATCTTATTTAAAACGTCTCCAGAACAAGAAATTGTAAGACAACTCATTAGGAGTAATTTTAAATTATAAATTTTTTTTTAATTGAACTTTTTCAATTATACTACGATATGCTAACTTTCCGGTAGGAAGTGAGATACATAAGATGTCCATATAGGACAAACTATTTTTTTTGGTTAACGGCGTTGGACGAAGTGTTCCGGTTGTTGTTGTTTTCCGTTTAGTATTATTTATAATAAACTTTTTTTTTAAATAATATTTTAATAAGTAATTACTTGAATTTATTGGTGGAAATACGACTCCACAACCAAACAGTACAACTTCACCAGCTACGTCGCCACCAAATTAATATAAACGATCAGAATATTTTTTAGTTGATAATTTGCATAAAACATTAGTATTTTTATATATCAATATTTTACGTGTATTATTTATTTATATCATAGATAATTATTCAATAATTTCTTATATTTTACTGGTTTGGTTCATTATAACTAGGGTCCGGATTTGTATGCATTTCCATATTTGTAATGAGTGTATGCAGTTTGACGATAGTAAGAAATGTGGACGATTTGTGTAACAGAGTTCACAGAAAAAAGTTTATTTTACATATAAATATATATTTTAGGGATGGCGGCATATTTGAAAATTTTTGCATATTTAAGCATATTTTGTATATAAGTCCATTAAACCGATTA